ATTGCCCAATATGTAGGTGGGATATTGTCGCTTTTAATCAAAACTAGTTGGCCAACTTTTAAATTTTGCATTTCTTCACGCCATTTCGGCGTTTGCGTTAAAGAATGCAAATAATCATTGGACCAACTTTTCCAGAACGCTTGAATTTGACATTGCAACTGAATGAACAAACGCTTCGCATTATATGGTGGCGCATCTGCTTTTTCGTGTAAGGGAAGTTTCAACGATCTGCCTATAAGAAAATGTGCGGGAGTTAACGCTTGCGCATCTTCAGGATCATCGGAAAGAGTGCATAAAGGTCTTGAATTAAGACACGCTTCAACGCTTGCTAATAGAGTTGTAATGCCTTGCAGTGAGTACTTTTGAGGTCCCATCACACGCTTGAGATGATGTTTCATTGACTTCACTGCAGCTTCCCAAATGCCGCCTTCATGGGGAGCTGATGGCGTAATAAAATTCCATTCAGTGCCGCTTAAATGCACCATACGTTGGATTTTATCATCTTGCCATGTTTTAAATGCATCTTGTAACTCATGATTAGCGCCTACAAAATTTGTTCCGCGATCACTGAAGACTTTTTCTGGGTTACCTCTTCTGCTTAGAAATCTTTGATACGCATTCAGAAAATCATCGGATGACATGCCTTCTGTGGGCTCTAGATGCACGGCTCTGGTTACCAGACAGACAAAAACTGCTATCCAACCTTTTATATCAGGAAGGGATCGCATACGCGTGTTCATGTTTATTTTGTCTGTTATTCGCATGTTATACGGCCCAGCCATGTCCACGCCTACATTTTGAAATGGTGGGGCCGGTTTTATTCTAACTGCTGGTAACTCAGACATTATTTGCTAGGCTGTCGCTTGAGCCTGCACAACGCATTCTTTGCATGTTCCAATATATCGCTTAATTTCTGATCTTAGTCTTGGGATCCAAAATGATTCACGAATGAATTGAATCATTAATTGTGCACCTCCATGCATTGTTTCTTTGTGAGCGTGGCTGAGAATAAGGTAAGACAATCTTGACTTGGGCGGTATGATATATTGATGCTTTTTATCATACGCAACATTCGCTTTGTCTATTCTACCGCCTACTCGAAGGATTTCGCTTTTATCCAAAATTGGACGGAGTGCAACAATATCGCTTTTGGGTGCTAGCTTATCACCCGCTTTAACGCATTCAATTTCTTTTTGTACGCTTTGCTTTGTTCAAATTTTACCCAAAACTTTATCGCATTGCATCTCTCACCAGCCGTCAAATATCTGTCTATCCAATCTCCTTGGATTTTCTTTGCTCTTTGTATGAATCTCAACGCGTAAGCAGTGACGTTCACTATTTTATTCCAGTCTTGGAATTTACCATACAAAAGAGTTCCGTTTATGCTTGAGCTTATGTTTACCACTTGTATCGCATTTACTTTCGCTTTGCATTCTTTTGTTATCTCATTTATCGCATCTGGTGAGACTTCCAGTTTTGGCTTTGGCCATTTTGCTTCTTCAAGTTTTAACCAACTTGGGCCTTCCAGCCAGAGCTTGCTTTTGAGGAAATCGTGCATTTTCATTCCTCTACTGACTAAGTCAGCTGGATTATCGCTTGAAATCACATGTTTCCATCTGTAATGCTTGGTTCTGTCTTGAATGAGCTTGACTCTATTCGAAACAAACGCTTTCAATTCGTCGGGTTGTTTTGCAAGCCAATGCAACACTATCATCGAATCAGACCATAGCGTGATATCCGCATCTTGAAACTCGCATGCTTCAATTACTGCTTCTAAGTGTTCGCTTATTGTCACGGCTGCCAACAACTCCAACCTTGGAGTGGTCAATTTATCCAATGGAGCGACTCGAGACTTCGATGACAAGAGCGAAGTGTGAATGCATCCCTCTTCGTCGATCACTCTGGTGTAAATTGTTCCACCATACGCATCATCACAAGCATCACAGAACGCATGAATCTGTATTTTGCTCTTGCTGTTTGATTTTAGCCAACGCTTTACTCTAAAATTGCTTAATAGTGGTAAATCAGAACGATATTGAAGCCATTCGCTTTTTATCTTTTCTGGCACTTCATCGTCCCATCTCAATTGCTTTTGCTTATTATTTATAACGCTTTTTACTTGCTTCTCTTTGGATCTGCCTATTTTCCAAATTTCTTTCATTAATATTTTCGCTTTCACAACAATGGGTGCGACAAACCCGTTTGGATCGTGCAATCTGGCTATTTCGCTTAAAACTTTACGCTTAGTCATTTTGCAGTGAGTGTCTAGTTGTCTTACAAAGACAGCCAACTCATCTGATGTTTTTAGCCAACACAAACCTAAAATTTTGGATTCATCGTCTTCGCCCATTACTTTCATGTCAATGCTGCTTGCATTCATGTACGCTTCAACCGCTTTTGAGTTTGATGTCCAGCCTTTGACATTAAAACCGCCTTGTTGCAGTACAAACTCTACTTCTTTCGACAGCACTTGTGCCTCTTCAACTGAATCAGCACCAAATGTACCGTCATCCATGTAAAAACACTTCAGAATTACTTCTGCCGCTTTAGGGAAGAGAATTTCTTGGTCTTTGGCGCATTGATTTAGTGTACGTACTGCATTATAGGCCGAAGAAGCCAGCCCAAACATTACTACAGTGATCACATATTCTTTCATTGGTTCGTTGGGAGATTTACGCCATAAAATGCGTTGCAAATCCCATTGGTCTTGGTGTAGACCAATTTTATTGAACATTTTAACAATATCAGTTGTCACTCCAATTCTAAATCGACGGAAACGCATTATTTGCAACTGCGCATCATATTGCAACTTAGCTCCCGTCATTTGAATCGAATTGAGCGACTCGCCTGACTTCGTTTTTGCTGACGCATTGACTACTACACGGAATTTTTTCTCCACCGCATGGTGTGGAATGTAGTATAAGAACTTACGATCACGACACTTGCCTGCCAAACGCATGTAACCAAGCTTCAAAAACTCTTCAATATAATCTATATATTTTTGCTTATATTCCGCATTTTTTTCGAATTTCCGTTCGAGTTGCATGAATTGCTTCAATGCCATGCCTCTAGACTCACCTAAGCCATCGCATCCTGGCTTGATTGGGATTCTCACTACGTATCTGCCTGATTTATCTCTGTAATGCGTTTTCACAAATAAATCTTCGACCGCTTGTTGTTCTTCAGTTAAAGACGCTTTATTTTCTTTGCAATTTATATTTTCAATTTCCCAGAATTTGCTTAGCATTTCTTCAACATTATCGCATTCTGAATTTTTATTCATTACAATGTTCAAAGCTCGCAAATTACCCAAGAATTGTTTTTTAACTTCGAACTTGCCTAAAATAATATGTCCAAACGACGTCGATTGCATTATCGCACCGCTTTTATGCCTATACAAATCATCGCCAACGATTGCCGCATAAATGTCTGCACTCAACAACGCATTAATTTCTTTGGGTGTGTCAAAGTCTTCATCAGCGAGTATCAAATGCATAATTTCTTCTTTGGACGCTTCAATTTGTGCCTGTGGATACACACCGTCTAAGCTATTCAGCAGATAAAATTCTGCTTCTAGTGCTGTTTGACTTTCGAACCACGGCCAGATAATTGCTTTGATTTTTCGCTTAATGATTTCAGGACCGCTTACGCCTAAAATGACTCGTTGACACTTTGTCGTTTGAAGTGCATTTTCTTCAACGTACTGCTTTGTAACGCATGGCAGCATCGCACCAATGTCGGCTATTGCTCTGCAATGAACAGGACAATCATTTTTGGTTTGCATACGCATATTAACAGTAGCCAAAACCACTGTGTATTCAGACTTACCAACGCTTCTGTTTTTTGTCTGCTTGATCGCATTGCTTTGATTTCCAACCAGTGTCCAGCTACCCACTTTGTTGACGCTTGAACCCAATTGCTTATTGGTCGAATGGTCGTATGAATTATCGTTGCCACGCATTTTCTTCGCATTTTTATGGCCTTGATTTTTCTGATTTTTACGCTTTGAACCTTTCGAATTTTCTCGCATCAACAACGCAGTTTGTGCAGACAATTCCACACTGGGGCAGATTGCACTGTTATGAAATCGAATTGCCGGTTTGCATCTCGGGCATTCTTGATTATTCATTTTCTTTTCGCATTTTCCGCTGTGTTTTTTGCGTAAACAGCGTTCGCATAAATCGTATTGAGCAATGTGATTCTTTCGACCCACTAAACTCATCGCTTTGAAACTCTCGCATTTGTAGATTGGATGTGTGTTGTTACACAAAACGCATTGTAGAAATTCGGGCAGATTGCTTTTTTCCGAACCGTTTTTCCTATCGAATCGCTTTGCACGCTTGGAAGTGGATGATTTGGAATTCTCTTGGGTGGACGCATTTCTTTTTTCGGCATGCACACGAATTGTGACTTCACCTTCCAAGAATTCTTCCATCTCTTTCCACGTCTGGATGTACTTCCCTGTTTTATACTGATTTGCATTTTCACCGTCATCAGCATTCGCTTCGTTCGCTTTGTTTGCTTTTGCCAGTGATGGTCTGAACTTTTCCCAAGCACGGTACGTCTCTGAGTCCATGCATTCTATGACTTTAAAGACGACGTATGGGTTGGAACTATCCATCTTAATATAACGCTTTAAGCCGTGAATGTGTTTATGAACTATGTCAATCACATCACGAATTGACTGACTTGACGAAGCACGCATTTGTGGCAATTTGAATAACTCTTGCATAAAAGACTGTACTTGCATATAGTCGTCCTCATAAATGCAATTCAATCGTTCCCACGCTTTTTCATAATTCGCTTCCGTCAAATCCCATTCTCCAAGTGCACCGGCTGCTTTTCCGATACATGCAGTCTGGAGATTGGTGAATTTTACGATTGTTTTCACCTTTTTGTTTTCATGCAATGTCAACCATCGGTCTCGGAATGAATGCCATTTGGAATACTCGCCATTAAACGTACCCCAAGTATTTGGCACGTTGCCCGTCGCATCGGTGGTTTGCACTTCAACTTGAAACTGTCGCGGTTCGCTTTGCGCTCTAGTAGGTGTATTTGCTTTATTTAACGCATCGATTTGATCATTCAATTTCGCTTTTAATGACATGATCAATTCATTGCTTTCTTGGCCTAAGACAAGCGTATCTTCGGCCTCGGCTGTGCTTAGTTTTCGCTTGACTCAACTGATCAGCACCCATTAGTTTGCTTTGTTTTCTCGTGATTCTTTTCCCCGGTTCATACGGTTGCATTAGCGCATGAAGTCAACGCTTGTTTGGGAAAATCTCGGAAAATACGCTTAAAATCTTTTCTTTTCTTTTCTTGACAACTCGCTTGCTGATTAAAATGCTTTGAATATTCCACAACAAATGATTTGAATCGAAAAGAAAGTTCGATGGAATACGCTTTAATTTGTTTGCTTGACACGAAAAAATATGAACACACAAAATGGCGTCGATTTTTTTTTATTGCGAAACTCAATCTCCTGAATCACGTCTGTATCGTTTGAGAGCAGCGAACAGAAAGAACGATGCCACGCAACAGTCTACTTACCAAACTGTCGGGCCCTCATACCTCTGTCTCCGTCTCTACTCATCTCTTTCCCTTGCATTGCACGCTCTAATTGCATGTATTCGTCTTCCGCATGATAGACTAAACAAGAGCGACGAGAAGAAGAAAGAAAGAAAGAAAGAAAAAAAATAACAGCACATTTCCGCCGAAATCAATAGCATCGATTCCAGTGAGTGTTCCTTTTTTCATTTGCATAGCACGCTTCAATCGCATGCATTCGCCTTCTGCATGACAGACGAAAGATACGGAAAGAGAGACGAAGAAAAAACATCACACTATCGCTTGTGTCGTTTGATTCGAACAAGTGTCTCATTTTTTCTTCTCTTCCACTTACCCCTTTTCCGCTTAGCCAAACACGTTCGTGCACGCTTTTGCTTTGAATGTGTTGGATTGCTTGTGCCTCAGAATAGAATCAAAGAAGAAAGAAAGAAAAAAAAAACTCAACACACTTTGTGTTTGCATGGCTCGCTTTGCCAAATTTATTACGCATCAGTTTTAATTTCGCTTATCTCGCATTCCTTTCCTTTCGTTTACAATGATTTTTATTCAGAATTGTTAAACAATGCTTATTTGTTTACTCGCATAAATCTGATCGCATCAAGATTTGTGTTTTTATGCTGCTTATTTACAGAGCACAGAATGTGACTCATTATTTCGCGTGACAATACTTTTCATCGCTTTGAAAAAATATTTTGTGTAAATTGATTTGAGCATATCAACGTTTATTCTTGGTCCCATGACTCATCGCCTTGCCATTGGGTTTTTGTCGCATTTGTAGGTTGTCCCGGCTTGCATGATGGACACGGCTGATTGCATGTTTTTTGCGTGCATGGGCCTTGATGCGCATATCTCAGGCATTTGCAGCACAATACATACTTTTTCACGTGATCCAATCGTTCACACAATTGCATTTGTAGAAAGATGTCACACTTGAATTTCGGATGAATGTCGTCGCAAAGGGTGCATTGAAGAAATTCCGCTTGATTTTTCTTTGCCTCTGCTAACGCTTGGACCGAAGTGACGCACGCATGTTCACTTTTGTCAGCTGCATGACTTGGCATCATCGCCATTTGAGCGTATGAAACATCAGTTTGGGGTGGTGCATTTCCCAATTCGCTTGATTTTACTGGTGTTTGATAGCATTGTTGCACAGACATCGCATATTTGTTGCACAATTCGACTTCACTGGACAAAAAATCTTGAAGTGATTCCCAGCTTGGAATGTGATCTGACGCGTTTCGAGGAGAGCTGCCTGCTTCCTCGATTTGAGCCCATGACTCTGCTAAAATCGTTTGTTGCCGATCCCAGAAACGTCGTGTCTCACTGTCCAATTTTTCGACCACCATCAGCGTGATAGCGCCTTCAAATTTGTCTTGTATCTCGGAGTCTTTGAGCATTTGCATAATCTTGTTTGTTTTGCACACTATTTCGCTTATTTTCTCTCCAGATGCTGCTTGCAATCTGTGCCGGTATTCTACGACTTTCCGACAAAATCGTTCGGAATTATTTTTTTCGTACATAAGACCATATTGGAGTGAAAGAGAGAGATTCCACTATTTTTCAGCATTCCACCGGAATTATTTCTCACACATTTCACTCTTCCTTGAATTATCGGAATAATTCCGGTGGAATGCTGAAAAATAGTGGAATCTCTC